CACTCTACGTATGTGAGCTCTGGCGAGTTTCTTCACTGCTGTGACCAACTTCCTGGGCCGTCAAATGGGGTCGCGCTGCCTGCTCACAGCATTGTTCTGTGGCTTAAGTGACGGCAGGAAGGCAGTGCATGGTTCCCTGAGGACTTAGATCATTCAGGTAGAGACTGGCAGCTGTAACAGAGACCCAAACTAGAACAGTTTTAAACCAAGTTCCTCTCCTGTGCAGTCGTCCCAAGGTGAGGATGTAGGTGAGTAGAAAATTCTTATTCAGATTCTTCCGCCTTGACGTTCCCTCCTTCCCTGGGGTGCGGGTCCAATCCTCCCTTCTTAGCTGCGCTGCCGGGCCTATATGTGCTGTCCCGGCTCACAGGAAGGATGGAAAGGAGTGTTGCAAGAGTCGGACCCAGAGGTGGTCACATCACTTCTGTTTTCCGGTCTGAAGGTGAGGACTTAGTCATCTGGCCACACCTAGCTGCAAGGGAGGCTGGAGAGGACCGTCTCTGACTCAGCCGATCCGCGCCTACCAGCCACAGCTTGAAAACTGTGTGAAAGGAGGTTCTGGTGGGACAGTTAGGTTTACAGCACAGAGCGCGGCTGGCACGAAGTCATCCCCCCATTTCCAGCGCTCTTGCGGGTCCACTCTCTACCCCACGTTGTTGCCTCTTCTCCCCGCAGGGTGAATGCTCTCGGAAGTGCTACTATATTTTCATCGTGGAGGACCGTCTGTGTGGCCTGGTTCTCCCTGGAGTTCTGCCTGCGGTTTGTCCAGGCCAGGACAAGTGTGAGTTCTTCCAGGGGCCCCTGAACATCATCGACATCCTGGCCATCTCCCCATACTACGTGTCGCTGGCGGTGTCTGAGGAGCCCCGGAGGACGGCGAGAGGCCGAGCGGAAGCTCCTACCTGGAGAAGGTGGGGCTGGTGCTGCGCGTGCTGCGGGCACTGCGCATTCTCTACGTGATGCGCCTGGCCCGCCACTCGCTGGGGCTGCAGACGCTGGGGCTCACCGTGCGCCGCTGCACACGTGAGTTCGGCCTGCTCCTTCTCTTCCTGGCCGTGGCCGTCACCCTCTTCTCCCCTTTGGTCTACGTGGCCGAGAAGGAGTCCGGGCGGGTGCTGGAGTTCACCAGCATCCCTGCCTCGTATTGGTGGGCCATCATCTCCATGACAACGGTGGGCTATGGGGACATGGTGCCTCGCAGTGTGCCGGGCCAGATGGTGGCTCTTAGCAGCATCCTCAGCGGGATCCTCATCATGGCCTTCCCGGCCACGTCCATCTTCCACACCTTCTCCCACTCCTACCTGGAGCTCAAGAAGGAGCAGGAGCAGCTTCAGGCCCGCCTCCGCCACCTCCAAAACACTGGCACGACCAGCGAACATGAACTCCTGGACCCCCACATGGCCAGTGAACGTGAGCTCATGGACGATGTCAACGACCTGATCCTGGAGGGTCCGGACTTGCCTATCATGCACCTGTAACTCGGCACCCCCTGTGACTACACGGTAACCTCAGTCGCCCTGCCCGAAACACGCTCAAGGGTATCCCGCATAGACCACCTAGTGGTGTTTCTAGAGCGCTGGGGAAGACTCCCAAAGCTGGAGGGGCATAAGGCCACGGAGGCTGTGTGTCTTTGTGATCCTTGCCCCTCAGGGCCCTGATGCCCCAGGCTGACTGTGTCCGGCCTGTTTGCCTTTTCCTCTCTCTCTGCCCATCTACTGAGCACGTTCAATCCTGCTGCAGTAGCTCTGTCTACCTTCATTCTCTTTTCCTTCCCAGCAGAGGCTTTAACATTCCAGGCTGGGTTCTGCATGCCCACAGAACCGGTAACTGGTATTTGCATACTGAACCTACTGAATTTCATTATTTCCCTAAGACCCTCTTTCCTGGGCCATGCCACCACCAGAAATCGAAGGTCCAGTCACTGCAAACCCCTCTGATCAGATCTTCCCACCCAACCCTTCCACAGGTTCTGGAGGAATTAGTATGTTCTCCTTCGGCTTACCACCACCAGTGGTATTTCCCTAATGCAGCTCCCTCCCTGCCAGCTCTGAAAGCTTGTAGCTAAGAGGGCAGAATTGGCCTTTTTGCAGTAAATCCCACGTTGAAGCTGGTGCCCTCAAACCTGCCATCCCCTACCTGGAGCTCAAGAAGGAGCAGGCATCCCCAGGCATGCCTGGGACCTGGGACCTGGGACCTGGGCAGAAACCTACTTTCCAGGACAGCCAGGGCCTCCTTGGCCACCTGGGCTCTTGGTGTGATGTTCTGCAGTTATCCAGTCCTTAGCCTTGACAGAGATGAACTCTTTTGGGGTCCACGTTGTCCCTCAAGAAGATCGTTCCTGCTGCTGGTTCCTCCCACACTGCCCGGGACCTTGGCTTTTCATCCTCAGCTGAGCCCCCATGAACTCTGTGTAGCCTTGGTGCAGAAACAAAGGGAAGTGTAGGGTCTGCGCCTTGCTGGTTTCCCACACTAGGCTTCTCTGTGCTGGTGGATAGACATTCTTAGCTCACATCTCAATGCATTTGTTTATTTGTCTGTTCACCTGTGAGCAGAGTCTGCCCTTTGCATCCAGGGGAGGAGGCAGACGGAGATCTGATTCACTGGAGATAAAGCAGCATATTCTGAGGGCAGGCAGGAAGGAGCAATGCCTTCCAAGCAGCGGGCTCCCAGAGGCTTTGCAGAGACATGGGCAGGGCTGGAGAGTGGAGGGGTATTTTGGGAGACAAAGCTGAACAGGTGGGTTGGGATGAGACGGCATGGACCTTGAATGCTTTAAAGAGGACAGAGTGATGGGCACAGGCTATGGGTTAGGGAGATGACAAGGCTGGATTGGGCATGAGAAGCCAGTTTGGGATGGGGAGCCACAGAGCCACTCAGAAAGACAGCCCTCCCTCCTTCATGGTACAAATTGTACGTGCTTTCATCAGATCCTGGCATCTCCCGGCAAAACACACCTGGGAGATGTCCTGATGGCACTTCCCAGGAGTGACATGGCCACACAAGCGTTTGCTGTTGGCTGAAAGACCCCTGGAGAAAGTGCACAAGATCCAAATGGGACAGCAAAGTGGCTTGGGCCCTGCCAATCTGTTGAAGTGTATGTAGAAGAGCGGCCAGCATTTACCACTGGTAACAAGTTCCTCGCTGTTCATTCATTCCGTTAGTTTTTCACAATGTCCTGCTGTGTGCCAGGCACAGTCCTTGGCTGATGGTAAGGCCAGGCAACTGTGTGGCAGAGGGCTCTGGCTAGGAAGTGCCCTGCACCAGCAACTAGGTTCCGGGGAGCCCACCTTTCCTTGGAGTCCTCCAGATGTCCGCCCAACTGATGTGGGCACATGTCCCCATTCTTTTAGACCCTAATCTTTCCCAAGTTGACATGTCACCCAGTTACAGAGTGGTCCAGTGGCCATGAGACAAGGAAAGCCCCTGCACCCTATAAAATCCCCAGCCTAGATGGCCACTCCACTCCACAAAGTGGCAGCAAGATTCCTATAAGCATTCAGTGGAAACTTCATGTCACAGGCACCTTGGACAGCAGCCATAGAAGTCTCTATTCTAGACTAACATACATTTATTTATTTGGAGACGGAGTCTTGCTCTGTCCCCCAGGCTGGAGTACAGTGGCTTGATCTTGGCTTACTGCAACCTCCGCCTCCTTGGTTCAAGTGATTCTCCTGCCTCAGCCTCCCAAATAGCTGGGATTACAGGTGCCCACCACCACGCCCAGCTAATTTTGTATTTTTAGTAGAGAATGGGTTTCACCATTTTGGCCAGGCTGGTCTCGAACTCCTGACCTCAGATGATCTGCCTACCTTGGCTACTCCCGAAGTGCTGGAATTATAGGCATCAGCCACCGTGCCCAGCAAGAGTAACGTTTTAATAACTATTCTTAGGTAAAATAGTAAAAGAACAAAGCTTCCCACTTTCTCTCTAGAGGCTAGATGACTTGTGCACTGGCTGAAACCCAGTGTCTTCACTCTCCATGTGACCACGGCAGGCTGCTACCCCCTCAGTCAGCTGCAGGCTGGTGTTAGGCTAGATCTGTGGTTTTCTGACCTGGGTTCCACAAAGCAAGCTCAGGGATTGTCCTGAGGATGAAGAAGACTGGCAGCAAAGCAGGCAGCGCTCTGGCTCCTGGGGCAAAACACTTGGAAATATCGACGTTGAAAACAACGTGCAAATCCGCAGTCTCCTCCCCTTCCAATCAGTGTCCACCCCAGCCCTTTGAACCGGGTGGTAAGCTCACTCTGGAACCAGAGACAAAGCCTCAACAGCCCCTGGAAGGTCTGGGACCCACGTCAGCCCCCCATGTCTTCCCTGTCTTCTCACTGAAGACATTTTTTTGTGCTGCATGCCTGGTGCAAACTTCCTAATGACAGCTCTGCCCATCCCTGCAACTGGCTTCTCCCCAAGCATCTCCCTTCTCCTCTGCTTCACCTACCAGGCGACTTCGCCAAAGTGTGCCAGTGCTAAAGAAAAGTTTAAAACAAATTAGGTGAAGCATCACCAACATTACAAGATTCTATATTGTCTTAATGTTGAGATTCTCTGCTAAATTAGGCGTAGAAAATTGGAACTGATTGCTCGCATGCGGGGCTTAATTAAACGCTCTATTTTTTCTCCCTGGTAATGTCCCAGGAGATGTGTCTAAATTGTTTTAGTCTAGCCTTGCCGAGCCGCCTTCCTTTGAGCTGATTGAATGGGGTGAAAGTGACAAGCAAGTTGCCAGGCAGTTTCTTCGCCCCATTGGCAGAAAGGTCCCTTATGTTACCCAGAAGGGCTTGTTTTCTCTGAGGCCAATGGGCCATAACTGGAGCCAAAGGTGGACATTTTCCAGCTGAAGGCAGAGAGAACATGGCCCTTGACTCCAAGCCTTTTTCATGTTGTATTACAGATGCGGCTGCCAGAGGTAACTGGGAAAATCTGGCTCAGCCTGTCCTAAGCAAGAAAGAGTTCAGCCCAAGAAGCGAGCTGGGGAAGGGTGAATTAATTCTTCAGTGGCGTGAAAGGGATACAAGATTGTACTGGGGACTTCTGGACTCTAATTCAATGGCTTTAGGACTTTAGAATATGGTAACAGAAAGCTCCATTGGCAGACAGTAGATCCAAGCAGGGAGTTTGCAATGAGGGGCCCGTGCACCTCTGCAGATGACGTGCATTTCACAGTGCAAAGTGCCCAGTGATTCCATCAGATTATCAAAGGACTCAATGACCCCTCCAGAAGGATAACAAATTCTTAAGTAAATCAACTCCCTCATTTTAAAATGGAGAGATTAAGCCTAGCACCGTAGCTCATGCCTGTAATCACAACACCATGGGAGGCCGAGGTGGGCAGATAGCTTGAGCACAGGAGCATAAGATCAGCCTGGGCAACGTGGCAAAACCCCGTCTCTACAAAAATACAAACATTAGCCAGGTGTGGTGGCGCAAGCCTGTAGTTCTGGCTTCTTGGGAGGCTGAGGTGGGAGGATCACCTGAGCCTGGGAGGTCGAGGCTGCAGTGAGTGATGATGGCACCCGCATGCGCAATGGAGTGAGACCCTGTCTCCAAAAAAAAAAAAAAAAAATGGAGAGATTATGTCTCAGAGAGGGAGGGCCACCAACCCAAGGTGATACAGCCAGCTCATCTAGTTAGATCCAAGTATCCCAGTTCCCAGCAGAACGCTCTGTCATGCTGCTGCTCTGAGGCTCATCTAAAACAGCGTCCAAGCCTTCAAAGAAAATACTGGAGATTGTGACAACTTTACCACGCTGTCCTGAGCAGATGCCTTGGTGTGCCCCAGGTACTTCATGTAGTTACACAAAGAAATTAATTTTGCCAGACTTTGATTTTCTCATTTATCCCAGGGAGAGGTTAGACAAGAAGATTAAAGTGCGTCCCAGCTTGGACAGTCTATGATTCTGGGAAGTAGGGTCCATTGCCACAGTTTATACCATGGACAGGGGCAGATAAGAACAAGGAGAGAGGTGAGAAAGAAAAACAGACTCTGTCCCTTGACTAGCCCCCAAATTGCGCCCTTGGCAAAAATTGGCAAGTAGTCCAAGTTTGAATATAAGTTCACTGAGATCGCTTTCCATCACCCGCCCACCCCATCAGGGCACCTCACCCACCATGAGGCCTGATTTTTTTTTTTTTTTTGAGACAGTCTCGGTGTCACCCAGACTAGAGTGCAGTGGTACGACCTCAGCTCACTACAAACCTCCGCCTCCCACCTCTACCTCCCAAGTAACTGGGATTATAGGCATCTGCCACCATGGCCAGCTAATTTTTATATTTTTAGTAAAGATGGGGTTTCACCTTGTTGTTGGCCAGGCTAATCTCAAACTGCTGACCTCAAGTAATCCACCCACCTTGGCATGAGGCCTCATTTTGGAGCAGGCTACCTCTCATTTGTAGCCTGGCTACCTGGCTGCACACACTCAGAGGCCTCCCTCCAGCAGCGTATGAACCCCCCCGCCCCCCGCACCTCTTCCTTACAGTGACATCTTGGGAAACACCTACTGAGAGATTCGCTTGTTGCAGAGCAATTGATTTTGTAACATTTTACTTGGAAAATACGTCAAACCCCCCAAAAAGTCACAAGAACAAAAACAGTGTGTAAACACCTGAACACCACTCTTTTTGGCATTTTGTCCATCTGCTTTCTCCTTCGCTCCGTCTAGCATTTTTGTAATGTCTACACGGTATTGTTACCAATATGTTTACAAGTAAGTTCCCCATATCATGGTCCTTTGCTTTCTAGTTGTCCCTTTAGTTCTGATTAGTTAATTGATTGATTGATTTTTTTTTTTTTTGAGACAGGGTCTTGCTCTGTTGCCCAGGCTGGAGTGTAGTGGTGCAATCATAACTCACTGCAGCCTGAACTCCTGGGCTCAAGCAATCCTCCTGCCTCAGCCTCCCCAGTAGCTGGGACTACAGGTATGTACCACTTTGCCTGGCTAATTTTTTTTTTTTTTTTACTTTTTTTAGAAATGAGGTCTCACTAGGTTTCCCAGGCTGATCTCAAACTCCTAGGCTCAAGCAATCCTCCTGCCTCAACCTCCCAAAGTGTTGAGATCATAGGTGTGAACCCACCATGCCCAGCATAGGTGTCACTTTAGAATGTGGTGACCAGAAGGCTCAGCAGAAGACCACCAGCCCAAGGAGTCCTACCTGGCAGTTTCCACAGGTTCCAGAGGTCTACGGACCTCTGGGGGTTAGGTGCACTTTAAAGTGTTAAGTGTCCAACAATTTCATCAGATTCTCAAAGGAATCCTTGATTCCTCTCCCCGCCCATGCAAAAGGGTAGGAAGCTCTAAAGTGAACCAATTGCTTCATTTTAGGATGGAAAGCCCAAGGAGACCCTGAAGACATCAGTGTATAGAGCCTTAGAATACGGAGATTCTTACAGAACCACCGTACAGTTCTCAGCTTCAGCATAATTAACTTCCATGCGGTACTTTATTCTAAACTCCTGTCAGTTCCAATTTTGTCGACTGACCTAATAAAATCCTTTATAGCCTTGTTTTCCTCCAGTACAGGGTCGAGCCTTGGATGGGAGGTACTGGATATTATTACATGTACGGATCCTACCTCTTTAGTCTCCTGTAATCTGGTCCATTTCCCTGACTTCTTTTTTTTTTTAGACGGAGTTTCGCTCTTGTTACCCAGGCTGGAGTGCAATGGCACGATATCGGCTCACCGCAACCCCTGCCTCCTGAGTTCAGGCAATTCTCCTGCCTCAGCCTCCTGAGTAGCTGGGATTACAGGCACGCGCCACCATGCCCAGCTAATTTTTTTGTATTTTTAGTAGAGACGGGGTTTCACCATGTTGACCAGGATGGTCTCGATCTCTTGACCTCGTGATCCAGCCGCCTCGGCCTCCCAAAGTGCTGGGATCCCTGACTTCTTCGACTTAGTTGGCACTGAAATTATGAGAAGAATGTAGCACACACGCAAGGTCACTAACTGTGTGTTTGCCTGCTGTCTCCTGGGGCTTTGAGGCCACGCACTCATGGCCAGGACATGATATAAGTGAGGCTGTGTCCCTCTTAGGGCATCATGTCTGTGAGTGCCGCATCCTATGAGTCGTTTCTGTAGGAGGTGAGCCCAGGAGTAGTGGGGAAGTGACCCCAGGACATGCTCGAAGGGGAGCGGAGATTGAGAGAGGGAAGGAAAGGGGGACAGGGGTAGTGCTGGCCTGGCCTAACGACGTTCAGACAAAAAAAATGAAATTAATGTTGTGCCTGCCCCCACTCTGGCAGTCAGATAGAATGTGACAGCTGGCCAGGTAAGTGCTAGCCACCCAGATCACCTCTGAGAAGGACAGTGCATCCACCTTGCAGATGAACAAATCCCCAAGGCTCAGAGTACATCATCTTTCTCCAGCTGTGACAAGGAGGGGACCCTCCATTGTCCCTCCAGAGCCTGGCCATCGCAGGCCTGACCTGCCTCACACATTCATACTTCTAAAAGGACCTTAATGGTGGCTGGCTGCATCCTGTGCATTTTACAGGCATGGGTGTGGAGGTCCAGGGAGGAGGCACAATTTGGCAGCCCACACAGCCGGGGGTGACCATGCCAGGACTCAAAGCCCAGGCTCTGAACTCCTGGTCTGGTGTTCTCAGCTCTGTGCCACCCAACCCCCACCCAGCACCTGCCTCTATCCAGTGCTGGGGTCTGTACTTGACGTCTAACCCAGGTGCACCTCCAGGAGTCTAATGTCGGTTAAAAATAAAACAAGGGAAGCTGCTGTCCCCGCAGGCCCTGTGGCCTCATTGTCCTCTGCGCTGTCCATTCTGAGGCGGACTTTGCTGAGTCGAGCTGAGCCCGGCCCTGCCTCTGTGACAGCCTACTTCCAGATGACACGTGGAGAGCTGTGGAGTCAGTTGCTCCGCAGCCGTGTGGCTTTCATAACTCACCTTTGCCATAAGGGGAACAAAGCCAAGGGGAACGCTGGGCTCCACGTGATATGACTTGGAATGAATTCACATGTCCTGGGCTAAAATTAGCCAATCTTACCTCTTCCAAAGGCTTCCACTGTACTTGGCCAATGACCAGCCTGAAATCGGGTTCCCTCTGGGAAGTTCAGCAGCCTCACCTTGCACCTGCCTAACCAAGCACTCAGGGCTCCCACCTCCCTGCACATCTCAGAGAAACACAAAACGATACCAAGGAGTGATGTTGTGGCATCTCTGGCATACTGGGTGGGGCCACTCATGAGGCCTGCTGGGGTTGACACTGAGTATGTGAGAGATTCTTTCTGGAAAGGGGGTGGCAGGAGCCAGGTGTCACTCACCTCAGCTCACCATTAAGACCTGAGTCAAAAGTTAGGGCTATAGGCCCGGCAAGGTGGCTCACGCCTATAATACCAGCACTTTGGGAGACCGAGGCGGGCAGATCACAAGTCAAGAGATCAAGACCATCCTGGCCAATATGGTGAAACCCTGTCTCTACTAAAAATGCAAAAAAATTAACTGGGCATGGCTGCACGCACCTGTAACTCTCAGGAGGCTGAGGCAGGAGAAATGCTTGAAACCAGGAGGCAGAGGTTACAGTGAGCTGAGATCATGCCACTGCACTCCAGCCTGGCAACAGAGTGAGACCCCGTCTCAAAAAAAAAAAGGATTTATCCAGGCATGGTGATGCATACCTGTAGTCCCAGCTACTCAGGAGGCTGAGGCAGGAGAATTGCTTGAACCCAGGAGGCGGAGGTTGCAGTGAGCTGAGATTGCGCCATTGCACTCTAGCCTGGGCAACAGAGTGAGAGACTCTATCTCAAAACAAAAAAAAGCAAAAAACGCTGGGCCTATAATACTAGCACTTCGGGAGGCCAAGGCAGGAGGATTGCTTGGGCCCAGGAGTTCAAGACCAGCCGGTCTCAAACTCAAAATTACAAGACCAACTCAAAATTACAAAGTAATTGTGTGGGAAACACAGCAAGGCTCCTCTCTAAAAATAAAAATAAAAAAAGAAGTTCTTTTTTAATGAGGTGGGCATAGTGGTGCACAACTGTGGTCCTAACTACTCGAGAGACTGAGGCGGGAGGATTACTTAAGCCCAGGAGTTTGAAGATGTGGTGAGCCATGATCATGCCACTGCACTCCAGCCTGGATGATAGACAAAGACCTTCTTTCAAAAAAAAAATTGGATGGAGCCGTAAAAAAGGTGGGTGGGTTGGTTTCCGAGGCAGTATCTCTTAAGTGCCCACCATGCACCAGATATTCTCACTCTTTGGAGACAGTGGTGAGTAAGACAGATGTCTGTGTGGACCCAGGTGGTGGATGGAGGGGAGGTAGAAGGCAGAGCACAAATACATGAAGGCAATGGCTGGATGCAGTGACTCACACCTGCAAGCACTTTGGGAGGCCGAGGTGGGAGGATCGCTTGAGCCCAGGAGTTGGAGACTCACCTAGGCAACATAACAAGACCCCATCTCTACTGAAAAAAAATTTAATTTTAATAAAGGCAATAAACAAGACAAGCATGACTGGTGACAAGTCCTCGGAAGGAAGGCCAAGTGATGAGGCGGAGTCGTCATATGTAAGGGCACGGGGTTGCCATATTTGCACAGGCTCCTGAGGAGGTGCTTCTCGGTTCTCCCAGATCTTGGAGGTCCCTGTGAGGCAGACCCTGAGGCAATGATTTGACTGCAGGTCTTTCATCCGAAGATGATCCCAGGGAACTGAGCCAGGGGAGAAGGAACTGAGCCAGGGGAGAGGGAACTGAGCCAGGGGAGAGGGAACTGAGCCAGGTGTATCGGTCTGTTTACACACTGCTAATATAAAGACATACCCAAGACTGGGTGATTTATAAAGGAAAGAGGTTTAATTGACTCACCATTCAGCATGGCTGGCGAGGCCTCAGGAAACTTACAATTATAGCAGAAAGGGAAGCAAACACGTCCTTCTTCTCATGGTGGCAGAAGGAGAAGTGACAAGCAAAAGGGAAAGCCCCTTATAAAACCATCAGATCCTGTGAGAACTCACTCATGATCACAAGAACAGCAGAAGGGTAACTGCCCCATGATTCAATTACCTCCCACCAGGTCCCTCCCACAACACGGAGGGATTGTGAGAACTATCATTCAAGATGAGATTTGAGTGGGAACACAGCCAAACTGCATCAACAGTGAAAGGAAGGCAGTCAGTACATAACAGTGTGAGCAAGCCCGCAGACCACATGAGCAACTGCAGTTCAAACTCCTGTGGGGACTCTGGGACACAGTGGAAATGCCAAGGGCTTGTTGCACAAAAGTGCATTTCACTCTCATACAAGACTCCCATTCCGATGTCCAAGGGTAACAGCTCTAATAATTTTCTTTCTAAAATATAGCTGTAAATATCACTTAGGAATGATTTGTTTCCAAGTTCAAGAAACTCTATTCAGACTTCATTAAACAAATGAACACAAAATAATTATTGGCTCTTGTAACTGGACATCCACATGGGAGTTCAGGTGTGGTTTAATCCAGGAGTTTGGCCAATGTCATCATGTCGAACAAGCAAGCCTAGATTTGCCTCTCTCCCCTGCCTCCCTGGGTGTGTCAGCTTCACCCCCAGGTTCTCCGCATGGCCACAAGATCACTGCACAAGCTCCGAATCTCACACTCTCGCTCCACAAAGCCCTCTGGGAAGAGAAAATCTCTTTTTCCAAGAATTCCAAGCATGTGATTTTGGCCTTATTGGACCTGGAGTGGGTCATGAACACATCCTTGAACCAACCACTGTTGCTACACTGACTGATTTCTGGGAGTCAGGGTTCACCCTGGAGCAGGAAACAGGTTCAATCCCACCTAAACCCTGTGGTTAAGAATGGAGAGGGTGAGGCTAGGGGTGGTGGCTCACACCTGTAATCCCAGCATTTTGGGAGGCCGAGGCTGGTGGATCACCTGAGGTCAGGATTTCGAGGCCAGCCTGGGCCATACAGGCCCAGGCAATCTACTGTCGACTGACCTGTGGGGAGTAGAGTCCACCTCCTGTCAAGGTGAGGGCGGCAGACACCCATCCAGGCCCAGGCAATCTACTGCCGACTGACCTGTGGGGAGTAAACTCCCATGAGAGCCGCAGCACCTGGCTTTTGTTGCCTTAGTGTCTTAGCATACAAGTGTTGGGACTATAGGCATGAGCCACCACCCCCAAGCCAGGCACGGGACGTCAGGAAGATCAGGTCTTTTTTCTTTGCAACAGAGTCTCACAGACTCTTTTGCCCAGGCTGGAGTACAGTGTCATGATCGTGTCTCACTGCAACCTCCCTCTGTCCAGTTCAAGTGATTCTCCTGCCTCAGCCCCCAAGTAGCTGGGAGTAAAGGGACGTACGTGCCACCACACCTGGCTGGTTTTTGTACTTTTAGTTGAGAGGGGGTTTCGCATGCCGGCCAGGGTGATCTCAAACTCCTGACCTTAGGTGATCTGCCCGCCTTGGCCTCCCAAAGTGTTGGGACTATAGGCATGAGCCACCACCCCCAGCCAAGACCAGCTCTTTCAAGACAGCAGTGCATGGTAATAAAAACCTTGGCTTTCAAGAAAATGGAATTTGAAGCTGTTTTACATAATCACTTTACTGAGATGTAATTCATACACCAAGTGTACCATTCACCCAAGTGTACAGGTCACTGGTTTGTTTGTTGCTTTTTTTGTTTTGTTTTTTAATATATATTTTATTGCATTTTAGGTTTGGGGGTACATGTGAAGAACATGCAAGATTGTTGCATAGGTACCTACATGGCAATGTGGTTTGCTGCCTTCCTCCCCATCACCTATATCTGGCATTTCTCCCCATGTTATCCCTCCCAACCCCCGCTGTCCCTCCCCTAGTTCCCCCCCGACAGACCCCAGTGTGTGGTGTTCCCCTCCCTGTGTCCATGTGTTCTCATTGTTCAACACCTGCCTATGAGTGAGAACATTCGGTGCTTGATTTTCTGTTCTTGTGTCAGTTTGCTGAGAACGATGGTTTCCAGGTTCATCCATGTCCCTACAAAGGACACAAACTCATTGTTTTTGATGGCTGCATAGTATTCCATGGTGTATATGTGCCACATTTTCCGTCCAGTCTATCATCGATGGGCATTTGGGTTGGTTCCAAGTCTTTGCTATTGTAAACAGTGCTGCAATGAACATTCGTGTGCATGTGTCCTTATAATAGAACGATTTATAATCCTTTGGATGTATACCCAGTAATGGGATTGCTGGGTCAAATGGAATTTCTATTTTTAGGTCCTTGAGGAATCACCACACTGTCTTCCACAATGGTTGAACTAATTTACACTCCCACCAACAGTGTAAAAGTGTTCCTATTTCTCCACATCCTCTCCAGCATCTGTTGTCTCCAGATTTTTTTAATGATCGCCATTCTAACTGGCATGAGATGGTATCTCAATGTGGTTTTGATTTGCATTTCTCTAATGACTAGTGATGATGAGCATTTTTTTAATATGTTTGTTGGCCTCATATGTGTCTTCTTTTGTAAAGTTCTATTCATATCCTTCGCCCACCTTTTGAATGGGCTTGTTTTTTCTTGTAAATCTGTTTTAGTTGTTTGTAGATTTTGGATATAAGTCCTTTGTCAGATGGGTAGATTGCAAAAATTTTTTCCCATTTTGTTGGTTGCCGATTCACTTTGATTGTTTCTTTTGCTGTACAGAAGCTCTGGAGTTTAATTAGGTCCCACTTGTCTAATTTGGCTTTTGTTGCCATTGCTTTTCGTGTTTTAGTTATGAAGTCCTTGCCTATACCTATGTACTGAATGGTATTGCCTAGGTTTTCTTCTAGGGTTTTTATGGTGTTAGGTCTTACATTTAAGTCTTTAATCCATCTGGAGTTAATTTTAGTGTAAGATGTCAGGAAGGGGTCCAGTTTCAGCTTCCTGCATATGGCTAGCCAGTTTTCCCAACACCATTTATTAAACAGGGAATCCTTTCCCCATTGCTTGTTTTTGTCAGGTTTGTCAAAGATCAGATGGTTGTAGATGTGTGGCGTTGCCTCCGAGGCCTCTGTTCTGTTCCATTGGTCTATATCTCTGTTTTGGTACCAGTGCCAGGCTGTTTTGATTACTGCAGACGTGTAGTATAGTTTGAAGTCAGATGGTGCGATACCACCAGCTTTGTTCTTTTTTCTTAGAATTGACTTGGCTATGCAGGCTCTCTTTTGGTTCAATATTAAGTTTAAGGTAGTTTTTTCCAGTTCTGTGAATAAGGTCATTGGTAGCATGATGGGAATAGCATTGAATCTATAAATTACTTTGGGCAGTATGGCTATTTTCACAATATTGATTCTTCCTAACCATGAGCATGGAATGTTTCTACATCTGTTTGTGTCCTCTCTTATTTCGTTGAGCAGTGGTTTGTAGTTCTCCTTGAAGAGGTCTTTACATTCTTTGTTAGTTGTATTCCCAGGTATTTTATTCTCTTTGTAGCAATTGTGAATGGCAGTTCATTCTTGATTTGGCTCTCTGTTAGTCTGTTATTGGTGTATAGGAATACTTGTGATTTTTGCACATTGAATTTGTATCCTGAGACTTTGCTGAAGTTGCTTATCAGTTTCAGGAGATTTTGGGCTGACATGTTTTGTTTTTTGAGACAGGGTCTTGCTCTGCCACCCAGGCTGGAGTGCAGTGGCACGATCTCGGCTCACTACAAACTCTGCCTCCCAGGTTCAAGCAATTCCCCTGCCTTCTCCTAAGTAGCAGGGATTACAGGCACCCACCACCATGCCCAGTAAATTTTTGTTTGTTTGAGATGGAGTCTTGCTCTGTCACCCTGACTGGAATGCAGTGACACCATCTCTCCACTCACTGCAACCTCTGCCTCCTGGGTTCAAGTGATTCTTCTGCCTCAGCCTCCCAAGTAGCAGTAGCTGGGACTACACACACATGCCACCATGCCTGGCTAATTTTTTTGTATTTTTAGTAGAGATGGGGTTTCACCATATTGGCCAGGCTGGTCTTGAATGCTTGACGTCGTGACCCACGTGGCTTACCCTCCCAAAGTTTTGGAATTACAGGCGTGAGCCACTGCGCCTGGCCAACTTTTGTATTTTTTAGTAAAGATGGGGTTTCTCCATGTGGTTCAGGCTGGTTTTGAAGTCCAAGTCAATGGTTTTTCACATACCAGAGAGTGTGCAGCCATCACCATGTCTGATTTTAGATACTTTCATCATTCCAAAAAGAAATCCCACATCCGTGAGCAGACACACACACACACGCCATTCCTCCACTGCCCCAGACCTAGGCCACCACCAGTCTGTCTATTCCGAATATTTTATGTAAATAAGATGATCTACTGCGCCGCCTTTTCTGTTTTTCTTCACTCAGCGTGAAGTTTCCAAGGCTGACCCATGTTGTAGCGCACCTAGCGTTTCGCTCGTTTCATGACTGGGTAATTTCCATCGTATGGAGGAACCTCGTCTCCTTTATCCATCCTTCAGCTGCTGGGCATTTGGCTTGTTTCCATTTGAGGGCTATTACGAAAAGTGCTTCTGTGAACTCTGGTGCACCGATTGCTGAGTGGACGTATATTTTACTCTCTTGGGTTTATACCTAAGAGTGGAATGGCTGAGTCACATATTAACTATGTTTGATCATTTGAAAAACTGTCTAACGATTTTCTACAGAGGCTGCAGCATCCTACATTCCCACTAGCAGTACATGAAGATTCTAATTTCTCCACATCTTTACCTGCACTTGCTATTATGTTTTTTTATTATAGCCATCCTAGTGGGGGCGAAGTGATATGGCTTTTTTTTTTTTTTTTGAGACAGGATCTCACGTTGTCACCCAGGCTGGAGTGCAGGGTGACAGAATCATAGCTCACTGCAGCCTCGACCTCCTGGGCTCAAGTGATGCTCCTGTGTAGCTGGGACCATGTGTGCACCCCAGCACCCTGGCTGTCATTAACATGGTGATGTGCATCACCCTGCTGGCTAACGGTGTTGAACATCCCTGCATGTGCTTATTGCCATTCGAGTATCTTGTTAATATCATTTTTTTTTGAGATGGTATTTTGCTCTTGTCAACCAGGCTGGACTGCAGTGGCACAATCTTGGCCTACTGCAACCTCTGCCTGCCCAGTTCAAGCGATTGTCCTGCCTCAGCCTCCCAAGTAGCTGGGATTACAGGTGCCTGCCACCATGCCCAGCTAATTTTTTCTTGTGTTTTTAGTAGAGACAGGGTTTTACCATGTTGGCCAGGCTGGGCTTGAACTCCTGGCTTTAAGTGATCCACCTGCCTCAGGCCCCCAAAGTGCTGAGATTACAGGCCTGAACCCAGCCTGAGTATCTTCTATGGAGAAACATCGATTCACATCCTTTGCCCATTCATTTGGTTGAATTTATTGCTGAGTTATAAGAGTTCTTTACATACTGTAGAGATAAATCCCTTATCGGATATATGATTTGAAGTATATCCTCCCATTCTTTGAGTT